GTGCTTATACAAAGCCATGTTAAAAAAAAAAAACCTTAATCCTTTTTCAGAAAGGGATATTAGTTAGTCTGTTTTTATTGGATAGAAGTTCTTGGTGAAAAACTGAAGCTGCCAGGCTCCTGTTAGTGAAGGCTGAGTTGCCAATGTTTGGCAGTTTTTCTGATTTTGATGTTGACAGGTTCCAAAAAGAAGAAAGAAAGTAAAAGTGAAAATTTTTGTTGAACTTATCAGGACATAGGATGAAGAAATGACCATGCATGGGTAGATGCTTTGTCCTCATGCATAGGCTGTGACAACAATAGTTTGGGCCAAGCTGGGATGTCACCTGGCTGTTATGGTCAAGCCATATGCCTTCACTAGTCCTGGTCTCAAACTGACCTGGAGTGGATGAACTATGTTGTCCTCTCATGTTCCTGCAATGTGATGTAGTTGGTCTTATGATTAGGTAAAAGATGAGAAAAAGTGACAAGAGAGGCATAACAAAGGTGTAGAGGAAAGATACAGAATACAGTGTGAACAGGCTGGAGCAGTCTTGTCTAATTTTGACAGCTGCATGTCCTCATGAGTGTGCTGGTTTCATCTTGCTGGTGTTAGAGGGACGTTTGCAACGATGCTCTCAGGATAACATAGAGGCTGTCAGCCTCTCACCAGGGAATCCCTTAGACTTCTGTCTATCTTCTCCATCCTAGAGATCTGCCTTTCAAAAAAAACCCCAGAGAGCAGAATAGCCTGCCTTTTCATTATTTAGTATCTGCTGAGGGCTCATTTCTCTTGTATACCAATCATTGTATTAGCAATTCTTTTTGTTTGGGCAGATGCTGTCTTTCTGCCTTCTTTTCCTACTTCTGCTGCCTACATTCATAGGTACAGAATCTTGCAACGTCTTAAATCTACTTTACAAATGCTGCACACACTGTTAGAGGGAGTCTTCTTTAACTAGTAATTATAACTAGCCTCAAGGAGAAGAAAAGCAACTTGGAAATGATTTATCTCGTCTGGAAACAACAAAGTTGCATAATGATAATTCTGAAGTCTGTCTGGGAAAGGAAATAGCCAAGCATTAATTTATCATGAATTCAGAATGGCACTAGCATCTTGTGCAAGCAGCTAAACTCCCTCAAATCCATCAACTTTAGTGGAAGTTAAATCAGGCCTTTTTGTTGCCAAATAATTTTCAGATCTCTATTTTTCTATAACTTTCATGTGTCATTTTCCTTGCCTTTTCTGTGCAGTTCCTTATTCCTTACATCCTGTCCGTGGGCTAGAGCTCAATTCCCTTAGTGGTTACCAGCTTCTGTGGTTATTTCAGTCACAGAATTCATGAGTATACACATTTTCTTTCTTAAAAGGATATCTTTCTACTCTGTATTTCATTACTTTCTAGCAAACACATTAATATCTGATTCTGATAAAAGATTATGAGTTTTTAAAAGGTCTATTTAGACCCTATCACTTGGGATTAGAAAGACAAAGGTTACAGGTCAAAAGTGAAAAGATGGGCTTTTTCCCTTTATAAATCAGATCTGCATGTATTTTGAAGAATTGCACAATTCCTTGTACAGTCAACAGTTACATATGTTTCATTTTCTTAATTAAGGACCGTATACACACACATCTGGATATTCCTTTCATTGATCCAGTGTTGCTGTTTGAAGAAAGAGCAAACACAAGGGGAAGTTGAAGTGACATGAGCTTTTGGCTTCACCAGTGCGAGGCTGGGGAATCACTGCATTTACAAATCTCCTTGATTAATCTACGTCATAGGAACTAAAAGCTGGTTTTTGAACTAAAAGAGGGGAGAAGTAGACCAGATCTAAGGAAGAAATTTTTCACAATCAGGATGGTAAAACACTGGCACAGGTTGCCCACAGAGGTGGCAGATGCCCCAACCCTGGAAACATTCAAGGTCAGGTTGGATGGGGCTCTGAGCAACCTGATCTAGTTGAAGATGTCCCTGCTCATTGCACAGGCGTTGGACTAGATGGCCTTTAGAGGTGCCTTCCAACCCAAGTTATTCTCTGATTCTATTGCTCTAGATTTGAGCAAGCACATTTGAATAATGCAACCACCTTGTATCAAGCAAATGTTACTGTGTACCTCATGTGCTGCTTCCACTTCAGATCAGAAGCTGAAAAGCCAAAATATTTTGCACTGAGCTTGCCAATAGAGTGCAAAGAGAAACTTCACAAAATAATCCAAGTACTTCTTGCATGACACTCCTCTGTCTCACAGGCAATTTGCACTTTAGAGAGGAAGGGTAGGGTGAACTCAATCTCACTTCAGAATCTGTTCAAGTTCCCATTTCATGATTTAAAACCGATTGTATGTGCTAATGGAATAGGTAGCTGCTGTTATTTCTGGGAAGGGAAAACACAGAAACTGCAAGGATTACTCTATGAGCAGAGCCACAAATAAAAGGTTCTCTCTTTCTCCCAGTTCTTCATCTGTCTACCTGGCCAGTCAGGTTGTGCATTAGAATCCACAACATGGCTTCTTGTATAATGTAGCTTATGAAAACAGGAACTGGTGACGCACATTAAAGAGAAGCAGAAAGATTTCAGAGTTTCTTACTCTCTTCTGATTCTTATCCTTTACCACTTTACTACTCACTTAACCTTTACCACTTACTACTCACCATAAGTAAATGAGAGAGGCTGCATTGCTAATTGTAAACCCTTCCACATGCCCAGGAGCTTTTTACTCTTGAAGAGCTTGTAAATCTGCATGACTAGAGCAAGGTTTGTTCACAATATTGGGAAGAAATTTCCTAAAAGAAATCCATTGACCATCCTAAAAAGGCAGTAGTGAATGGTTCAGTGCATTTGAAACCATATATGAGTATAATTGATCTTGCTATTGCAAAGACGTAGAAAACTTCTCAGCAAATGTATATCATAACAAGAAAAGTTTCTTCAAAGACACACTTCCAGCTTCCACAAGGTCTACATGCTGAATGCCTCTTGTCTAGAACATTCACATTACACTTGTTTTCTTAAATTTGATGTGGAAGAGGTAGCAGTAGAATCCATTTATTGCTGTAACTTGCAAAAGAAATGAGCTGCTGAGTTGGCCAAGCAGCCGATCAGATTGTAATTTAAAAATTCTGAAGACTTCAGACACTGAGGTAAAGTTATGGTATCTCCGATACCATATGGTTTAGATTTTGCTACAGAAGTTAAAAAAAACCCATGCACTAGTACAAAGTCAAAAGAGATCAGAGACAAAAGGCTTTTTTATTCTCTCTGGCATTGCAAGTAGCTTAACTTTCTGTTTAAGTGGGTAAAATCAGTGCATTGTGAGGTATTGCGGGAGAAATCTTGAATGATTAGTGATACATATGCATATCTCTGCAGTGTAATTGTGTGTGTGTGTGAGTGCATATACATCAAGCAGCAGTAGATGGCTTAAACCTGATAATCTCCATAGTAAATATGTACTTCCTCCCTTCCTTATATGTACAAAAGAGATAACAATATGGTGCTCTGGGGATAAGTTTCATATATGTCTATCTTGTTTTGGCTGCATTTATTGTAAGTAACTTTGTAGTATAATAGAAACAGTTTGGAAAGACTGAATTTCTTGGTGATACTGAAAGACTGGAAAGTTAAATTTAAGTTGCAGAAGTCACAGGTAAAACTATTCCAACATAACAGGCAATCCATGTAATGTGATATAATTAAATGGAAGGCAAAAGGAGCAAAACCCCAATTTAGAAGCTCTTGTTAAGGAAGTAAAAAAAATTACTGAACACCCACTAAACTGTACTGAGTTCAGAGTACACAACTCCTTCTTCAACCTCTTCCTAAATTTTTTTTTAGACCCCTTTTATTGTGCTTTGTAGTGATACTCCTTTTTTTCCAAACAAATGATTCAGAGCCCTTCCTAGTTATAACATCCCTGCTTTATACCATCAACCTTATATTTTAACTTCTCCACACAAACCAGATCCCACTTCAACAAGTTGTGAATCAGATACGACAGCATACGTGCCGTAGCTGCACCCCTGCTGCCACTGTTGGCTGGGAGAAGACTCCTTGCTATGGAGGGCTCCTGGAACCCAAAAGTGGCTCCAGCCCAGCACAGTGGGACCAGCTCACTCCCCTTTGCCCCAATCCTTTACTGTGCTGTGTTTTAATTGTACTGAATTCAAATGTGTTGAGCTTTTGCTCTCAGTTCAGATTAAAGACTGGTCCTGAAAGGTATTGAATAGGGTTGACCAATTAAAACATTTTCGAATGATTCTGGGTTTTATCCACTTGGAATTGTTCAACTTCCACCCCCTCTCCAAGAAGCTGAGTATCTTTCCAGTATCTGTGTGTATTAATTGTCATTTCTTCCTATTTTACTGCACGTATTTTCATTTTCCATCCACACATGCATAGTTTTTTCAGATACAAAATATAGAAGAGAAACAAGGACAAAGCAAGGCAGGGAGGGGAGCAGCAGGGAAGAAGATTGCTCAGAAGGGAAAGAAAAATTGACACATACACCCCAAACCAGAAGAATTATTGTTTTCACAAAGAAACTTGCAGTTCTCCAAAGTGTTGGCAGGAATAACACTAGTCTGGTACATAATCCAGTTTCTGGTACAGTCTATACTTCTCAACACAGGGCACTCATATTTTTTATGGATACATTAATTTTAAAGTAGTATGTATTTTCCTATATTTATTAGGTGTTCAGTTCCCAATTCCAGAAATAAACAATTATAGTATGCCCAAAAGGAGCGGCATGACCACTCTCTAAAGGCAGTACCTGCACTGAAAATTTTAAAAGATTGTATAACTAAAGCAAGGATATAACAAAATGCTCAGCTTCTCTAACCCTACAGGAAGATGTGCTACAATATCTCCACAGCCAATCAGCAGTACTACAAGCCTCAGACCAGGAAACTCTTTAAAGTACAGTATGTGTGAACATTGCAACAGGGACTTTCTCATTGCTACTCTTTCTTTTTCTCTTTATGCTTACAGGATGGCAAGGCAAATGTGAAGTCACTCATGGCGAAATTTAACACAGGTAACAGCCCCACAGAGGATGTTTCTGGTAACAGTCGACCCTTCAAAGTCCCAGGACAACCTATCCATACGGGATTACAGACAAGAAAAGCAGCACTTGAGAAATTTGCAAGTCAAGGAAATACAACTTCTCCTTCAGGACCCAGTACCTTTCACAAAGCTGTTCATCCTAAGCCTCCTCTGGGAGTCAAGCCTTCAAGTGATGATAAAACAAAGGATCCAAAACCCCCATATTTGAAACCAGTGGCACAAAGGTTTGGGGTTCAGCTTCAGGCAACAAACAGAGAAAATGATGGAAAAGCTGGATGCACTAAACCATCCACCAAAACCAGTGACTTGGCAAAAGAAGAGCCAAAACCTCGGTATCCAAAACCTGCAGGGAATAAGTTCCTTAACTCTGCTCCTCATGAAAAAGAAAAAAATACTCTGGGAACAAAGCCAAATTCAAATTTTGCACCACAGAAGGGTGAAGCAAAACCAGCATTTTCAAAAGTAACTGGAGTTAAGGAAAAGTTCATGTCTGCAACACAAGAAAATGAGCCCAAGCTTCCTTTCTCTAAACCACCTCTTGCACAGAAACCTTCTCTAAACCATGAGGTCTCCCACAGCCAAGACGCTTCTAATAAAACTATCTTTCTGCAAAAAGGACTATCAGGCCCTAGACCAAATATACACTCATTTAAAGCAGCAAAGGAAATGGATGAAAATAGTAACTGTGCTACAGAAGCTGCAGGTAGTCCTTTTTCTAACGTGGCTCTGAAGCCTACTGGCCACTGGTCCAGCCTATCTCAAGGCACCCCCAAAAATGTGGAGGAAAAGGCTGAAGAAAAGGGAGTAAGTGTTGCCAAGAATATCTTTCTCAACAAAACCATCCAGGAAGAATCAGGTTCTTCTTCTGCTAAGTTCTGTAAGACAAACACAGCGCTTGCTGCAGGAAGGCCATCAGGTGGATCACAAGAGAAAGAGGATGGGGACAGGAGCTCAGGAACCCCCAAGCAGAAAGCCTTGCCCTCACTGTTCAAGCTGGGCCAGCCCCCGCAGAAGCCCAGCAGACCCCCCAACGTGGACCTGGAAAGGTTCCGGAAAAAAAAAAGTGAGTCCTCTCTGTTCTTGTTTTCTTGGGTATTGGCTTTTTATGCAATTAGTGCCCAGTTCATTTCAGATGGAATCACCGTTTCTGTTCAGAAATAACACAACACCTGTGCATCAGACAACCCATTAAAACTTTAACCTATGCTTGTATCTCTTCTGTACAGGACAGAAATTAAAATTATACTCCTTCCCTCAGCAGTAAAGGGATGCTTTCTGTATTGGGTTTATTTGTTTTTCAAAACTACTTAGATGTAGTTATAACTTGTGTCAGGGAGTTTAAGTATTTTTCTCAACAGACATTTAAGTCCTGACTTCTTATAAATGAGATGTTGATATTGTGTGTCTTGTTCTCGACAGTAACTTCCTGGGCACAGCTTGAGGGCCACCGAAATGATATACTACAACCTTTAGTGACCACACTTTTTTTTTTACCTTTTTCTTTTTTTGCCTTTCACAATGACTAATCACAGCATGATCCTGTAAGTTGCTGTATTTTAAAGTTTGTTTTGAAAGTTGAACATTTGCAAAATTACAGAATCAATTGTTCCCACGTGTAGCTGCATCTATTTTATACCCAGATCTGAATCCAGACTCCAAAAGCTTCTCCTGGACTTAGTTAACTTTTCTGTTAAGTTTGCATGTCTTCAGTAATGTGGCAGTTAGTAGCACCTGAATCTCTGCCTTACTACTTTTGTGAAGAACCAAGCCTCTGAACTTTCTGGTGGTTGCAATCCAGGCATCAATATTAAGGCTTGTCACTAGGTTTCTGTAAAATTTGAGATGGTCTTCTGTGTGATGAGAACTGCTGCAAATACATTTCAAATATCTGGGAGGACACAAATCCCTTTAGAAAAAAGAAATTGCTGTGACTCCACTCCCACAAAGAGTTCTGTTTCAACAGGTTCCTTTCATTGCATAAGACAAGTTGCAACAATGATATAAGCTGTTTCTGAGGCACTCAAAATACTTGAAAATCTCATGTAAAATTGTACCGTCGTAAAGTTAGACCCACGTATCCACTGTCACCTCCTTGAAGGGGAGATCAGTTTTGCAGAGGTTCTGGATGTCCTTAATCCTCCCTTAAATCACTTGTATTTCAAACTTTTGGGTTAACATTTTCCTCCAAAGCTTTTAGGCACTCTTTGGCAATCTTAAAAAGTTAAAATCAGCCACTCAGTTGGAATGGGTGATGACAATTGTCACATTTCTTTTACAAGTTTTATAGTAGCTGAAGGAGACCTTCTCTTTTTTTTTATACCACCAGGTGCTAGGATCTATGATTGCATAAGAAATTATGATCACATTTTAAAATCAAATTTTGAAGTTGTATGAGTCCAGAGGAGATCTGTTGTTGATCTTGGTGCATGACAGAAACAAGGACAGAAATAAAAAATTACTATTGTGTGTTAAATTTTTGTTTGGTTGGGGGTTTTTTGTTTTGTTTTGTTTTTTTAATCTTAATGCACTGCTGTCTGCATTGAGCTCTAGAAGCAAGGAATATATTCAATCTTCACATATATTTTTTCAGCTAAAAATTATTTTAACCAGTTATGTCCTGCAACTATTATGTCAGGTGATACACACAGATAAGTAATTTTGGAAAATGAGGGGCATTTCACCTACATTAGTCCTCCTTATCCATCTGTCTTCGATATAATAAAACAGATCAAAATTAGACTCTTAAATTTTCAGCGTAGTCAGTGAGAAATCAGAGCATTAGATGCCTAATGTAGCTGACGATAGATGCTCTGAATAACTCCACACTGTGCCTGTGCATCGGGTACCTTTGTGTAATTTAATTGACATAAAATTTGTCTTTTTGTCTTCTGTATTTAGAATACAGTATGGTTTGTGCTTCAGCAGTTCTGAATGCACATAAGACTGGTCTTCCTGAGACGGAAAACATTCAAAGGGTTTATGACTGGATGAAATAGCTCACAGCTGACTTTAAAGACAAAAAACCACACTAAAAACAGGGAGTGTGCATGCAATATATTCTAGTATTTTTAATTCCACTCAAAAATTAGGAGCGTATCAGTAACATAAAATGTACCTTCTTGTCAGCTGCTACATTCTGATTTTCCTGTGTTACCCTACAGTTATGGAAATGTTCTCACAAATCCATGATCAGGGCCAAGTTCTCAAATGGTGTAAATTTGTGTTTCTCTTTAAAAGAAATATGCCAATGTACAACAGTCTGAGCACTGACAAAGCCCCTTCTCCATGTTCAGCATGACTGGCTTTACTCGAGTGCCCAGAGCGGTCTCAAAATGGAAAGGCAGCACTTTCAGCAAATGACACCAGCAAATGCTTTGATTAAACAAAAACAAAAAAAAAGCTTTGCTAGCTAGAACTTTGAGAAGTCCTGATGAAGGCTGGAAACACACAAACCTGCAATTAATTTTTTTTTAGTTTATTTTTAAGTAATTAATGGAGGAATTATTTTATTTGCTTGTTTGTTCTTCATTCAATTTTTTTTTCTGGTTCTCATGCAGTTTTGGACACAAAACATTTTTTCCTAAATATTGGAATATTTATCCTATGCATTTAAAATTAATACTGTGAACAGGGCTGTAAGGATAATACCAGAACTTTTTCTAGAAAGAGGATCTCCATTTGTCACTAACCAGCACTAGTGCAGCCACCAGCCTGGATGAGTCACACTGGGAACATGAGCTAAGGATGGAGCTGCCCAGTGTGGTGGCACAGGTTGTTCTCCAATCATGTAGGAAAATACACATCCAACTAAGTAGAACTGAAGGGTCAGACCTGGTCTTCTCTGCTTCATAGTCTTTGGGTCAGGGCAAGACTGAACGATTTAGAAACCAAATCAATGAAGCTGTTCATAGTGGCTCTGAACTTCATCCTTCCCCTGTAGAGCTGGCATGTAGACCTGGATGTTCTGTTTGACTTTAATTAATGTAGCTCATTTCTGTGTGGCCAGAACTCTCCGTAGAACATTTCTGGTGGAAAGACCACGTGGTCTAGAGTGAATCCTAAATAAACTCATTTTTAGCTCAACAAAGTTATTCATCGCTGCTGGGTTTCTTGGAATGTTAAACTCAAATGACAAAACCTACCTGCTCTGCAAAGGCAGTTAAACTGAATTGTGAATTGTGGGTTGTTGGGGTTTTTTTTAACTGTAATTTCAAGAATCAAAGTCATGTCAGGAAGATGCCACCCACATAGCACAAATTCTTCCTGCTCATTACTTTGTCCTGATAAATCGCAGCTTGCCATAGTTGCTTAATTTGCTGTTGTGATTCAGGTGCTAAGTAAAAAGAAGAACAAGCAAATGGAAATGGTTTTCCAATCCAGCAAAGCTTTCTGAGATCTAACCTTTGGGAATGTTTTGATCTGTACTAGGGCAAAAGTTAGGTTTTGTGTTGTCCTTTGAGAATAGAAAAGCTCCACACATGGCGGTTGTTATACTTGTGTTAGGGGCATGTGTCTGTCATGCAGAAAACTTTGTGTTGCCTGATTTAAACGAGGCATTTGAACTCGGCTTTCTCAGAAGTCTCAGTTCACCCCTTTTTCTTTGGTTGTTGTCCTTTTTCATGAAAGCTGCTTTAATGTTTTTTCTTAATGAAGTATTCAGTGGGTATGATATAACTTTAAACATTAGAGGCTGAAGGACGTACCATAGATGCAGCAGTCTCAGTCATGTGTGGGAGAAGGATTTAAACTGGCCACCATGCCTGCACGAATACTAAGGCATGCTGGTTTGGTGTTGGCCTTACTTAGGATTAGAAATTTTCACTGAAAAACTTTTCTTGATAAAAATTCTGTAGACACAAGTGTCTTGCTGAGGAAAGTATGACTCCTGATGCATTACTATTTTCCATTGAAGGCAGGCTTTAGGAAATTCCTGTCTGGGCCTGTGAATACATGGCATTCTGGTAAATTCCCGTGTTATATCCCATTACAGCGATTTTCCCTGAGAAGAGATCGTGTTTACATCAGCTCAAAATCAATGAGATTATGTGCTTTCTGGAATCAGAAAATAATACTAACAATACTGTTTTATAATAAACACCCAAAGTGCAAATTGGCTTTGTTAGAAAAAAAAAAAGAGAAGCAAAGTCATTTTGCTGACAGTTTTCCATGTGAGGCCACAACCGTACCATTGCTTTCAGAGGAAAACTGCACCTGGGCTGACATCAGTGGGATCGTGTGTGTAGAGACGGCCACCCACGTAAAGTCAGTTGAAGGCTCAGAGGCCCTAGCACTCTAAACACCTCTGAACATCTCATGAACAACCAACACTGGGGCTTCATCTAGGGAAAATATTTTGAGCTGTACTGGGAGAAACAAAGGAAACTGCACTGAATCTAGAAGAAAAGAAGCTATGTAAGAAAACTACCACGATTTATAATTTGGGTTATGGCTGTGTCTGCAGTCCTTGTTGAGGTTCTGTTCTGCAATGTACCCACATATTGAAACAGGTATTTGAGCTGGGTAAGACAACCAGAGAGAGAGGAGAAGTTAAAATTTGAGGTGCATTGTCAAAGTTATCACAACACTCTCTAGGAAAAGTGATTAACAATCAAGTGCCCCTCCTGAGGACAGTAAATGTCTTACCTGTCCTTGCAAAGCCCCTTAGAACCAGTCAGTTGTTTTTCTTACTTGATGGCAAGATGAAACAGCAGCTTCCAAAGTTATAAAGAACAGGGGATTTTTTTATCACAGGATGTCACGGCTGTTTACTGCAGAATCTGGACTTAAAAGGTCAATGTAGGTTTTCTTTTTTTACCTCAGTGCTAGATTGGATAAAGTTATGCAACATATCAGTATTAGGGTGTAAGGGGATAGAAAGAATTGTAACTTGAGCCAAATCATCTGTTTCTATGACAGATGAAACTAAAAATAGCTGATGATATCAAACAACACTGTTTAGGGTGGCGTGGGGGTAGCTGTGTGTAATTGTGTTCTGCTTCTGTTTGCACAGGTGAACTATAGCATGCCATAAAACCCTGTACAGATCAAGGAATTGTCAAAAAA